ATACGTCAAATTACTACAATTCGTATCTAGTTGAAGATATTACTCTCAAAAATTGAAAAAAAAATTCTAATTTATCAATTAAACAGTTAGTTATTACATCGTCTCCATAAAGACAATTAAAATCATTAATTTCTAATGTTTTCAAAATATTTATTAACGAATGAAGTTTGATATGATAGGTTTCAACTACAAAATTAAATCATTTTACTTTGTAATTTAATAATTTTATTACTCTGTTTGTGTGTGCTACTATTAGACTATAATATTCAAATTTTTTTCTAACGTGTTGCTATATAAATCATTTCTAAAAAAAATGATTGTTTTTTCTCCTGAATTAACAATTGATTTTTACAAATATAATCAAATTTTATAATAAACTCAATTGAGTAAATCTTTTTAACAACTTTGTTTTGATTGGTACATTTAGTTAAAGTAAATCATTAAAATTAATTAAGTTCTCAATATTTCAATTATAGAATCTTTTCAACAAACAACAAAAGTTCCTAGGAAATTATTACTATTACTTCTATTTAAGTTATCTATTACCATAAAAATGCAAAAAAATATTGAGCTTTTCTGATAAATTTACAATAAATAGTAATTATAAAACTTTCTGACTGCATATTGATCTTAACGATACAATTTTTTTAATTGTCATAAAATTTTCTATTTAATTATGTCAATGTCAAACTTACCAATTGAGCTAAAAGTTATGGTAAAATAAATTTTTTTTTTTTTTTATAAACATTTACAACAATCAACTTTAAACGATTAACAAAATTGGTTAAATATGTCATTTTCCTTATTTTTAACTTATTAATAATCAAATTAATATTAAATATTATATCAAATCAGTATTAATTTAAAACAATTTTTTTTGTTCTTAATTATTTTTTTTTATATGTAAAAACTATTTTTTAATAATATTAAAACTTAGAAGTTATAGAAAAAGTCTAATTGCACATTTTAAAACATCGCGAAAAGTTGATTTAGAATAGTATATTTTTGTTTCTGATGGAAGTTCCTTGTAGTCCAGTGTATAAAACTTATAACTTTGTTAATTGTTATAACTTTATCAAAAATGACCAAATCAGTATATTTTTTTTTATTTAGATGCATGTCTTTATCTATCATTTGGTTTTTTTTATAAATCTAACCCTTTACCTGCCCACAAGAGGGATTCAAAATATTAACTTTTTTTTTTTTAGTTAAAGTAAATCATTAAAATTAATTCAGTTCTGGATATTTCAATAGTAGAATCTTTTTAAATATCAAAAATTACTTAGAAATGATTACTATGATTTCTATTTAAGTGTTCTATTACGATAAAAATGCAAAAAATAATGAGTTTTTCTGATAAATTTACAATAAATAATAATTATAAAACTTTCTGACTGCATATTAATCTTAAAAATAACATTGTTTTAATTCTCATAAAATTTTCTATTTAATGATTCATTCTAGTCAACGAAGGAGTAATTTTGCAGAATAGCAGAAAAAATTCCCAACAAACTTTTTTTTTTTTTGTTTTAATTAGGCAATTGGTGGATTATTCCAAAAGCAACATCAACTCTTATTTCTTTAATTATATCATGATTAGTAGTTCTTTGATTTTAAAATATAATATTTGAATATATACTAATTATAATTATTAAATTTAGTATGAAATTGATATTTAATATTGTAATTTAAACGGAGAAATTATAAAAATAATAAAGAAGTTATATTTTGCTTTACTTTTACGTGTATAAAAATTTAAAGGGCTTGATACAATAATTTTCAATAAAAACTGTTTGTTACTATAAAAAAATGCACTGGACTACAAGGAACTTTCATCAGAAGCAAAAATATACTTTTCTAAATCAACTTTTCGCGTTGTTTTCAAATCTGCAAGTAGACTATTTCTATCACTTCTAATTTTTTATATTATTACTAATTATATATATAAAATAATAATTAAAAGAAAAAAAAATTTGTTTTCAAATTATTACTGATTTGATTTTTAATATGTTAAAAATAATCAGTCCAAATTTTCAATTTTAACCTATTTTTTTGGTTCTTTAAAGTTGATGAAAAATTTTTGATAAAGATTTATGAAAGTTTATAGTAAAATAAATTGAATATATTACCATAACTTTTAGCTCAATTACAAGTTTAAAATTGACATCTAGGCCAGTCAACAAAGGAAAAATTGCGGAAAAAATTTTGTTTTTTTAAAAGTTGAATTAAAATATGTATAATGACATACTAATAGTCCTCAAGATTGGAATTGAGCTTTTTTTTTAAATCCTCGCAAAAGTTCAAAAATATGAGCTTTCTTAATTTTCTCAAAAAAAAATATTTAACTTACAAAAAAAAGTTTCGCACAAAAGTTGTTTAAAAGACAATTATAAATAAAAATATAATCTTATATTTTTTCATTTAAACAAATATTTTTCGAGTTACATTACATTTAATATGAGTAATAAAATTTATATTCCATTTTTTTCATTTTACGGTTACTTTTTATCATGTTATACTTACATTAGACACAATGTTATAAATGCATATGTGTGTATGTGTGAGTTTATTTATTTATTGTATCATTAAAGTGTAGTGTATATTGAGATACAACCGATAGAGTAGGTAATTGATTTGACGCTATATTATTTAAACCCAACTAAACGCTAAATTGTACATTCCGAAATAACAATCATATTATGTCAATTGCCACCGGAATATCTGGTAATATTTTTCTTTTTCTTTGCCTTAATCCCAACTACTTGGGGTCGGGCACCCTTATCCTAAGATTCCACTTGACACGATCTCCCACATCTTCTACGCTCACATCAGCTGTCCTCAAATCGCATTCAATAGCATCCCTCCATCTCTTTTTTGGTCTTCCTCTATCTCTTCTTCCTTCAACATTCATTTCTATAACTGTTCTTACAGCTTTCGATTCTTCTTTCCTCATACCATGACTAAACAATCTAAGTCTATTTTCTGTCATCTTATCCACGATTGACGCAACACCTATACTTCCTCTTATATGCTCGTTCCTTATCCTATCTTCTCTAGTCACTCCACTCATCCAACTAAGCATTCTCATCTCTGCTACACTTATTCTCTGCTCTACTTTCTTATCAACCGCCCAACACTATTAACCATACATCATAGCTGGCCTCACAATTTCATACTAAATTTAAAAACTATAATTAGTATTTATTCATATATTATATTTTAAAATCAAAGAACTACTAATCAGGATATAATTAAAGAAATAAGAGTTCATGTTGCTTTTAAAATATTTCACCAATTTCTCTAAAGGAAACACTATCTACAGATTTGCATCGAAGCGTTTCTTATGATAGTGATTTTAATCACTGTCAGATATCATCTATACTTGTCCCATCTATGCCTCGTCCACACTGTGCCTCGACCCCACTGTGCTACCGTTTTTTGTTTCAATGTTTTGATGACTTTTTATTTTCTTATAAACTATATTTTTATTATTTATTACAAATATATATATATATATATCCATTATAATTTATTTACCTTAGGTAAAACGTAATATTTTCTTTATAAAGTATTGCCTATGTGACAAAATAAGTAATTATTCAAAACGACGTGACCATATTTAGGGGTGGTTATAAGAGGCAAAAATTCTTGGGGGCGAATACCATTTGATAGTGATGGAACAAAAAATTACTTTATTTTGCTCATTAATATTAATACCCCAAGCAAAAATCTAAAATACAGGCCTGACCGTAACATTCAATAAAAGCCTAACAATTTAGTATTGGCTATTATTTTTTCAATTCATCAATCATGAGTATTTTTCTGTTCATTCTTTTTACCTTAAGAGGACATCAACTTAATTTTTTCAAATAGTAGAATACACAATTAACTAGTGTATTATTTGATAATAGTCTAATTAAGAAAATGATTGGTCGATAACAATTTTTAAACCAGTATTTTAGCAGTTATTAACATTTTATAGTGATTTATAGAGTCAAGACGCGAGTGTTGTTATTTTGATGACTATTCATTTCCCGGCTTTTGTTCATAGAAGGATTCTTAAATTCTTTTTCAGTCAAAAATTATACATTATATAATATTTATGTATGATTGCATAGATAACAATAGATACCCGTTTCTTTACTTACTGAATACTGTGTATACATGTATATTAAACTCGTAATTTCCATCTCTAGAACGATAGTACAGGTCCAGGGTTGGAACTATACTGCCAAATTAGCTTGTTTCATATTTGTTTTTGTAATTTTTATTTTTATTGTTTTTGTTATTATTTTTATTTCTGTTGTTGTTGTTATTTTGTTTTTCATTGAATGTAAAAAAAATGCAATAAAAAATTATTTTATTTCAATGTCCAAAAATGGAAAAGAGTATTTTTGACGAAAATGAATTAATTGTACGATCGTATTTTGTATTAAAATTTATAGTAAAAATATTCCAAAAATAAAAACTTAAAATTTTAGTTACTAAATCAAATAAATAATTAGAAATACATAATGGATAAAAGTAAAAAAAGTATATTATTACATTTTTAACAATCCCAGAACAAATTCTAATTAATTAAATGTTATCAATATTTATTCAAAGATATTTCATAATTTCATATATAACGAACTAACATAAAATGAACTAGACAGGACCAAGATCGGTGGAAACAAAGAGTGCGATACGGTTTTGTTATAGAAATTGTAGAAGGGGGAATATTCGACGAGCAGTAAGCTCTGTTAACAAACATGTTTTTAGAATATAAAGTTTTAATAACAGAGTAGAGGAATGAGGAAAATAATAGATTGCATTTTTACTAAAAAATTCCCCTAACCACTTCCCGCCCATAATACAATAACCCTTTACTAGTTTGACCCAATTTCATACAATATCCTCGGGACATTTCATTGTGCCACAAGACATTACACCACATCAATATACATAATATACATCTATTTTATATTTATGCACATAAAAAAAATAATTTATAATCACAATAAACAAGTTGGAGTTGACATTTATTTTTAAATTAATATTATACATTTATATTAGCTTCAAATATTGAAAGCTAAATAAAATGATTAATGAAGAAATAACAATTTATTTATTTAAAACTTTGCTTAATGACGGAGCAGATAGTTTTACACCATTTGGTATGTTTCTTGCTATATCTTGTAGATTAACACTTTTCATTAAATTTTTTTCATGTGTCGTTGCAGTTTTATCTTTTAAAAATAAATTAAGACAAGTTTTTGAAGCTTTACCTCGTTTAGTATTTCCTGGCGTCAACTTTAACTTATACCTATTCAAATATATAAAACAGATTATAAAAAACATAATATTAGCTATTAGCTAAAAAATTTATATTACAATGTAATTAATATGAATAATAATTAATTTAATTTAAAATAAAACATGTTAATAAAAGAAAATGAGAACTTGAAAAAGATCATTACTTGTAATTTGTAAGAGCACTATACGGAGCTACTACAGGAACTGCAAAAAGCAACTCATCTTCAATGTGTGGAGCCCCAGTTAAAGAATCTAACATTTGAGTTTCTGTTGGGTCAGTTTGTTTACTATCATCATCATCTTCTGAGTTATCATTAAAATTAGCCTCTTTGATATTTTGCTCATTAACAGTAGATTTAATTGATTGGGCTGCTATAGATTTAACAATAGGAAGTGGTTTAACAGGTTTTATTCCAGCTGCTTTATTTTTCATATCAGTAGTCTTTTTATTTTTCTTATCTTTTTTTTTTGAACGTTTTAGTTTTTTATCTTCATTCATTGATGACTAAACAATTAAATATAAAATTGAATTATTTTTTACCAATAATTATTTAAATATTACATTGAGTGAAATTTTTGTATTTATAATTTAATTTATTTGTTTCTCCTATTCTTCATAGACAATAGACAGTGACATAGACACGAGAAAATCACTTGTATAAAATGGTAGGTCATGTCTGGTTATAGTAGCTTTANAGACAGTGACATAGACACGAGAAAATCACTTGTATAAAATGGTAGGTCATGTCTGGTTATAGTAGCTTTAAACGAATATCTCCATTAAAGATTAAAATGTGTAAAAAGTTATAGAAGAGTAGGCGATCATTCTGATCATTTTTTAATTAAAGTTAAAATAGTAGTGAAGATTCCATCTAAATGGAGCAAAATCTCAAAAAAAAAAAACAATGGTATGATTTCAAAGGAGAATCAAGTCATAAAGAAGTAAACCGAAGATTTTAGTAAATTTACAGGAAATACAAAAGAGCTAAGTTATCAAAAACACCGGAAAATAATAGAAGAAAAAATAAAGTCTGCAGCGGAAGAATGTTTAGGATATAATAAAAATAAAAATAAAAAATAAAACTATGGTTCTATGAAAAATGCAAGTCAGCGAAATTATCTAATCATCATGGATAATCAGCTTTGTACAGTCTGTACAGCAAGAAATAGAAATGCCAAAAATAAAAGAAGTCGAAATAGCAATATTTATTAATAAATAATAAATCACCGGTAGAGGAAATAATCGTAGCCGAATTATTAAAAAGTGGTGAACAATATTTAAAGTTAAAAATATGAGAGTTTATAAAAAATATCTGATCACATTACCAAATCCCAAAATAATGACAAATTGGAGTTATATGTCCTATATACAAAAAAGGAGTCCGATTAACTGCTATAATACAAAGGAATAATTTTATTAAATTTTGGATACAAAATCTCATTTGTCATTTTAAATAAAATAAAACCTTCCCCTGAAGAAATTAAAGGTAATTATCAATGTGGGTTCAGATCAGGGAAATCAACAAAAGACCTGATACTCACTTTAAGACAACTCATAGAGTAACATTATGAATATTTACAAAACATTAACATTTAATATTCATCGATTTCAAACAAGCATATTATTTAATTAACAGGACAATCTTATAAAAAAAACTAAAAATACTGAGTATTCCGTTAAAGTTGATCAAGATGGTAAAAAATAGAACTGAAAAGACTAGATGTCAAGTAAAATTTTGAAGACAATAATCAGGAGAATTCAGAATAATAGTTGGTTTGAATTAAGAAGATACTTTATCACCAATATTGCATTTCTAAACCAGGAAAGTGTGGTGTGAAAAGTTGTTGAAACCGCAAATGGAATCATTCTTGGAAGAAAACAAGTATTCTTAGCTTATGTGGACAATTTCGTAATATTTGATCCAAAAGAACAAGAGAGCAAAGAAATAACTCTTAAGTTCGTAACTACAACAAAAAAAATAAGTTTAAGATTAAATTGAAAAAAAGGAATTTATGATTGCAAAAAGAAACAGTTAATTAGATCAACAACAAAGAATACAAATAGGATACTATACATTCGAAAGAATTCATACTTTCAAATACCATAGTTTTGGAGATAAACAGTCAGATTGATTATCACAAAGAAATAAATATACGTGTAAGTACAGGAAATCAATATTTTTGCACTTAACAAAGTATTTAAATCAAAAATACTCTCTAAAAACTAAAAATAACAACTATATAAAGTACTGATTCGACCAATTTTATTATATTCATGTGAAATCATAAACGAGGACGAAAAGAAACTGGAGATTTTGAGAGGAAATTCATTAGAAGAATAAATGGACCCCATAAAAATGAAGAAATAGACCAATATAAAATAAGATTCAATGCAAATTTTAAAGAAATTTTTAGAGAGCTAGGTCATGTCTGGAGATTTTAGAGTAAAGTGAAAGATGCACTAGAATGAAGATCAGAAAGTTAAATATGATTCAATTAAGGAAGTCAATTTGTAGGATTTAAATTGAGGATGTCTAATCCCAGTTGCTGGGAGTAGATGATCCTATACAATTGATGGAAAATAGTGAAGAATAGAGAAATTTTTTTTTAGCAGCAATGGGCCTAAATAGCTTGCAATAAGCTGAAGAAGAAGAAGAAAATTATAAACTTTAATTATGTTAAATTTTTTAATAGGAAAAATAACATATTTAAATATTTCTTTTTACAATTCAATATATATATATATATATTTGCTTTAAATGAAAAGTATTAATTTAGCTTAACAATTAAGTTGAAAAAAAGTACAAATCGTTATTCAGGACTATCTACATGATAAAATTTTAATATAAAAAAAATCAGATACATTTTTGGTGTCACAATATACAATATATAGTTAAATTAAAAAAACAGCTGCATATTTAAAAGAAAAAACTAGTGAAATTATATTGGGGGAGGTTGAGTTGTAAATAGTTTAACAATTAATTGGGGAGATACTATGCCAAAATAAATGGCTAAATAAAATGAAGCATTTCATTTTTAAAGCAAGACAGACAAAAATTAAATGAGAAAAATCGCAGAGTACTCATTGTAATGTTTAAGGCAATTATTAAGGGACCCAATAAGCATGAAAAGGAAGGCGATTATGACTAAGTCTTAGCTGAGAAAAAGATATTACATAGAACGGAGGAGTGATAGTTTATAAAACCAAGGATGGTTAGGAATAGTTGGTAAATCTATGTTTTTACAAATAAATTTGAAAACGTTTTGTAAATTCACAAATTTACCTGCAAAAGCTTAATTCGCAATTCTCTCTCATCTTCATCTTGGTCTTTATACTTTTCTTTGATTTTTTTTAGCTTTCCTCTGTGTCCACGCTTCAAAACTTGATGATTTTTTTTTTCATTTTTATTCAAGGAATCTGTAAAAACATTAAAACATAATAATAATATTTATTCATTAATTAATAAATAAATATAATAGGCCAATTATAACCCTGAACTCCATTTCAATATGTTTTTTATGGAATCCATCACTTAGACTAACTTTCAATAACTAAAGATTGATCATTTTTCACAACCACTTCTATTTTTTCTAATTCTGCTGATCCCTCGTGTTTTTCATCTGACTCATTTACAGATTCATTGTTACTCTCTCCACAGCTTGAAGAATCTGTTATTTCAGCTTTTCTAAAAAATAAAAATTATTCTTTAAAACCAGAAAAATTAATTTCCATTTAAATTCATTATTTTTAACATTCATGAAATGTATAATTTTTAAATAATGCTAACTTCATTCTTGTTTACTTATAGTTTCTTGTATAATCAAAAGTCGTTTCTTTGTTATTTTATACATTACACTCAATTTAAATATACAACAGAAAGATTGTTGTTAAAAAAAATTTAATATTAAAATTATAATATTTGGCTATTAGAGAATATTACTATATTTTTTACTACTTTAAAAGGTATTTATTCACACTATTAAAAATTTAATTTTAATTTCCTCATTTTCTAACTTTTAATATGAAAAATTAAGTTTGTTCTTCAATCTATATTGTGACCCAAGACTTATAACAGTTTTTATTTACTCCACTTTTTAAATTATCAGGAGAAACAATAAACTTATTTATTTTACATTTAAATAAAGCAAAAATAATTTTCCTATTTTTTGTATCTATGTAAAATAGTAAACTTCTACCATATAATATACTATCAAAAAATATATTTTCAAAAATTGATGTTATCTAGCGCTGTTGCAGCATCTCTCGAAAGTACTAAAAAATCATAAAAAAATTAATGAACATATAAATTTACAGTGTTGAGCAAAATTTTTTTGTATATTGTAAATTAGAAAAAATAAGTTATTATCTTATACATAGACTATATATTTTGTTAAAGCTAAATTAACTAGGACATCAAAATACTTAATAAATTCATTGTTTAATTGTTTAATTCTTTCTTTTTTAATTAAATTTAAAACATTCCAATCATTTAAAAAAAGCAGATATCTACTAAAAGTAAGAAAAACTTTACTTTTCATCATTTTGTAATTTATTTTGTAAACAATTATCAGAATAATCATCTTCTTCACCATCTCTCAGTACTTCACTTGACTTATTATTATTAAGTAAGTTTATACTCATTTCAATATCTATAACATACAAATGAAAAAATAATCAGCAAATTTAAAATCATCACAATAAAATAAACAAACTTTAATAAATAAAAATATGATCATTTAAAAATTATTTTTGTTTAATTTAATCGATGTGTTATAAAGCTAATATTTGGAACTTCAAGTTTGACTTTTAACTAAATCAATAATGTCAAATTTAGTTTGGATTCAATATATTTTATCTATTTATAATCTTAAAAGTTACAATGATGTTTCTTAAACACAAATCATAAAGATGATTGTTTATTCACCATGTTAATAGGTCATTAATATGAAATTATAGCTGTAAATAGCTCATCTTATTAACATATAGTAGTTAAGTCTTACTTCATTTCTTCTTAAGACTATGGAGAAACTTATTGATAGGTACATCAAGGAGAACCCTTTACATGAAAACCAACATGCGTATCAAACGGGGAAATCTACTGATACAGCTCTACACTGCTTAACTACTAAGATAGGGAAAGCTGTAGAGAATAAAATGTATGCAGTAGGTATATTCCTGGACATCGAAGGGGCTTTTGACAATACTCCCTTCGATGCTATGTGTGAATCTGCACAACAGCATGGAATAGAACCACTTATTATTAAGTGGATAGAATCCATGCTTAAGGAACGCTCTATTTTGGGACAGCTCAATGAGACCAAAGTAATCAAGAGTGTTAAACAGGAATGTCCATAAAGCGGGGTTCTATCCCCCTTGCTATGGAGTCTAGTATTGGACTTGCTTATTAGAGAGTTAAACAAATATTGTTATACACAAGCCTATGCGGATGACTTGGTTATAGCAGTGGTGGGTAAATTCCCAGACACTATTATAGACTTAGCACAACAGAGACTTAACACTATACAGATATGGTGTAGTAAGTACGGTCTATCTGTTTATCCAAATAAAGCAGAGGTTGGTATGTTCACTGGNAAAGCAGAGGTTGTTATGTTCACTAGAAGGAGAATAGGACTAGACAGTCTTGACACTCTTACTCTAAATGGACAAGAAATTAGCTTAAAATCGGAAGTAAAATACATAGGTATTATCTTGGATAGTAAGCTAAAATGGAAATCACATGTTGAGTCAAGAATCAAAAAAAGCAATGACCACATTGTGGACTTGCAGTAGAGCCTTGGGAAAGACATGGGGTCTTAAATCAAGAGTTATGTATTGGTTGTACACATCAGTGATTAAACCTATGATATTGTACGGTGCCCTTGTCTGATGGAACAGAACAGCACTCGTTACAGCTAGAAAAGAACTTAGTTGCATACAGAGAATGGCTGCTATGGCCATCACTGGAGCATTAAGAACTACACCAACGGTCGCACTAATTGGATTGCCTCCTCTGAGAGTGATACAACAGAACATGTTNTGGACTTTGGAGAGTGATACAACAGAACATGGTAAAATACTAAAAGAGATATACCAGGGCTTTCTGGAATACCCCTTGGACTATATCAACCGGTTCTTAAGAATAACATTCCCTACAAAGTTGAGATCACTACACGTATAGAATGGAATATTAACCACCTGACTGACAAAGGAGGATTTGTGATATATACAGATGGATCCAAAAAATCAGGAAAGGTAGGTGCTGGAATTTGGGGTTTAAAGCCACGAATAAATGTCAGTATGTCATTGGGCACAACCCCCTCCGTCTNTCATTGGGCACAACACCCTCTGTTTTCCAAGCAGAGGTGATGGCGATACTGGTAAGGGCTCAGAACCTGCTGGTATACAAAAATAGGAAGATAACTATCTTAAGTGATAGTGAAGCGTCTTTGAAAGCACTCTGTAACGATCAGGTGAATTCAAAGCTGGTCCTCGAATGCAGGGAAACTTTAGAATCACTATCGAGGTTCGACAAAGTTACACTAGCGTGGGTACCGGGACACAACGGTGTCACTGGAAATGAGAATGCTGACTTTCTAGCCAGGAAAGGAGCAGAGAACACCTATGTTGGACCAGAACCAGTGGTAGGGCTCACTGAGCAATCGCTCAAAGCGTTACCCAAGAATTGGTGCAGAGAACAACACAGGAAAATCTGGAAGTACTTGGTAGTACCTAGACAATCTGAAATGTTTATCAAGACCCCTGGTTTATTGCTGGGTGATCTTAATAGCATGACTAGACATCAAATAAGCACCCTGACTGGTCTACTTACAGGACATGGTCACCTGCTTAAACAACTTAACACAATCGGGGTATCGTAATCACCATTGTGCAAGAAGTGTGGAGTAGAAGAGGAAGACTCATTTCACATCATGTGCGAATGTGAAGCCTTGTCCACACTAAGATCAAACTACTTGAATAAACCTTTTCCTGAAAAAGAGGATATTAAAAACCTAAAACCCAGAGAGATACTTAATTTCGCCAGAAAGACAGGACTCTTTGGTCATCTTTAGAGGTGACTTTATGGTTGGTAATGTATTAACACTTTGGTGATAACACTTAGATGGGTAAACCGAATCAAGACAATTCGGTATGAGGTGCGCACAATGGACCAACAGGTCAGAGTGCATGGGCATTATGTCCACCTCAATAATAACTAAAACTAAAAACATATAGTAGTTATAAGTCGATCGCAGCATTGCAACTTTTATTTTCCTTAGTTGAAAAGTTGTTTTTCATATTGTTGTAATTTGTGTTATTTGGTAACTATTGCCTTAGTTGGTTTGTTTTATTCTTGTGCTGTTTTTCAGCTCGCTATAGTATCATTATTAGAATAATATTATGAGCCGTTTATTTTAACTTAATAAATTTATTATTGTTTCAAAATATAATTATCACAAAGTAATTATTAAAAATATTAAATGTTTAAAGCGAATAAAATATCGAGTTTTTTACTGTGGTGAAACCCCTTTACATGACACAAACTTTCCTGGTCATCTTTAACAGTATTATTATAAATTTGTAATTTTCTGTTTATTTATGATATTTCTGACGTGGAGAATACATTCAGTCTATTTATGTAAATCCACCATAGTCAACTACACAGCCACCAAGGTCGTAGAGATTTATGATGATATATAATTTTATCTATCAACTCTTAATTTTAAATTTAGTTGTATACTAATTGTTTAGTCTTTAAGTATTTGTCTTAGACAAATTGCATTAGACCAAAACGGCCATAAGTGCTACTAAAACTGAATAAATTTTATTTCCTTCTTCCCGTGTACATTAATAATTGTGTTTAATTCTCTAATTATTCCCTTTTGTACATAAATAGTTTTCTTGTGAAGTATTTTGCGCATTGGCTAACCATGTATAAAAGGGCACGCGTATATTAGGTTGCCTACCTTTTTAAATTTTAAGACATTATATTTTGGTTTTTTTTCTTATTAATGTTCAAATGTTCATTTTTCTCAATTTAATTGTTTTATTAGATAATGATACAAAAATTAACTTTTGAGAGATATTCAACACCCATAAATGTACAGATAAGGAGAACAAAAACAATAAGATCAACTATATTCTTAAATATTATAGCTTTCTTCCTCTGGACACTGTTTAAGCGTTCACTAGAAGAAGGAATCTTTCCTTTTATATTAAAGTTCAGCTCAGTTACCCCTGTACACAAGTCCGGTGAACTGCCCAATGTTTCCAACTATCGTCCAATTTCAATCCAGCCTCACATTTCCAAAATTTTTTAATTGTGGGTCTTGCATTGTATACAACCTTCGATCAATAAAATTCTTATTTTATTATCTTATAACACCATTACCTGTAATTTAGTCTTTAACAACTATTTATACCAAACTTTTAATTTGGAAACACAGGTAGATACCATTTACACGGATTTTAACAAGGCATTTGATTCAGTTAATCACAATTCCCTAATCCAGGTCCTTAACTTATCCAGAATCGGTGAACCTCTCCTGTCCTGGTTTTCGTCTTACCTATCTTGCAGTTACCAATGGGTCAAATTGCTTGGAGTAAAGCTAATGTCTATCCTGCTACATCCGGTGTTCCTCAAGAAAGTCATTTACCTCTGCTCCTATTCTCTCTATTTAAGTGTACTTTCCAATAGCCAGATTTTATGTTTTGTAGATGATATTAAGCTCAACTCTCGTATATCCTCCTTAGATGACTGTATTTTATTACAGAGTGATTTTGATCGATTCACGGAATGGTTTAATTTATTAGGGCTACCTTTTAATGCGTCTAAATGTAAGACCATGACTTTTGCCAAGATTCAGTCACCTGTCAAACATGTTTATCATATCGGATCTACTGAGATTTTATGTTCTAATGACTTTGTAACTAATCTAGGATTTATTCTAGTAGTGATCTTGATTCTAAACCCCACATTGAGCATATTTGTTGTAAGGCCTTTAAAACTCTGGGGTTTGTGTTAAGATTATGTAGGGATTTTCGGTTAGGTCTATCATACAAGGTGCTTTATTATGCACTTGTTCGCCCTATAGTTGAATATGGTGCCGTAATTTAGGATCCACATGAGTTCAATGACTCTCTTAGACTTGAAAGGGTTCAGCGTAAATTTATGAGCTATGCTAGTTTTAGATTGAATATCCCTTGTGAATCCCACAACTATGGACCAGTTGCTTCTCAACTAGGGCTGGTTTCGCTGGCTGAGCGTAGACAGATCTCGGGTATTAAGTTTCTAAATAGTTTATTACAAGGTAATATTGATTCTCCCTATTTGCTTTTTTTAATTTGTTTTAGAGTTCCTCAACGTCATTCCCGATCTGTTGCTCCTCTTTATGTTCCTTTCGCTTCTACTAATTACCTTAAAAATGAGCCTATTACACATATGATGTCAAATACCAACGTTGACCCTTCATTTCTTCTTTGCCTATAATTAACTGAATAGCTGTTAATTTATTATTTATCATATTTGTACAATTAATGTATAACTGATATGTTTAATGTGTACATGTGTTTAAAGGGTTTATCCGTATATTTAATAAAAATAAAATAAAATAAAAATAAATGCGAAAATATAAGTGTTCTTACCTTTTTCACATTCTTCATCACTAGATACATTTTCAAGATCCTCAGTGTTTTCTTCAATAGGAACTAAGCATTCTAAATCTTGTCCTTTTATTTTTCGTTCATTTATATGCCTAATCCAAAATAAAATTTAGTTTTTACTAGGTATAAACAGAGCTGTATTTAAAACTCAAACTGAAATTTACTTTGAATGTACTTAGCAAACAATTATCCCAACACCAAAATAAATATAGTTTTAAATGTTAATATAAAATACTTCCTTTTAAAATACATTACCTAAAAACAGAACCATCTTCTAATTTAAAAAGAAAACTCAATCCTAGAATAAGTTGAGTTGCTGGTAAGTAATTCTTTTTACCACGAACCATAAAACTACCAGTTGTTAAGTACTCTCCAGTTGGGGCTGTCTTAGTAACTTGTTCTGGTTTTACCCAATAAGCATTTTGTATGTTTATTTTCATAGACCAAGAAACACTAAAATATTAATTAAATTTAAACTACACAATAAAATTTTATATAAATTTATAAAACATAATAAAAAATATACAGAGTAATTTACAAATTATGAAACCCTTAATTAATCGAGAAATAAAAATAATATTAATAACTATTTTATTGGTTTCTTATAGTTCAATATATCAATCATAAAAAATTGTTTATATTCATTCCTTAAAACTTATAAGGCTGTCAACTTTTTCATTTTTCAAATGACAACACACAAGCTTATTATTAGAAAGTTATGTAATTAAGAAAATTACTGGTCGAAAACCTGCCCACATAAGGGGATTCAAAATAGCAACTTTTCACAAAAGTCTATTTTTCAACTTAACTTTTAAAAATGTTCCTAAAATACTGCATCCTTTAAACAAATGATAAATTAAAGTTTAAGTTATACTATAAATACTATAAATTAAAAAAAAAAATTGTCCCGACGACATATTTTCTATGTGCAAACGGTTACCATAGTTTAAAAAAAAAGGCTATATTTGTGTTAAAATCTTCGATTTTGTGACTTTAAATTGCTATAACTTTTTGAAAAACGTACAGATCAACACAAATTTTTGTTTTTAAATACTTTATGTATACCTCTTTTATCCAACATACTTTTTTTTCTAAATAGGACAATTTTCTCTTATATAGGTGCGTTAAAAACTTAAAACATACGTATAAAAAAAAAAAGAACTTTTTAAAATTAACTTTTGAAAATGTTCCAGAAATACTGCGTCTTTAATACATATGTTGAATTAAAGCTAATGTTATGTACTCTAAGTTAAAAAAAATAGTTTGTACCAACACCTTATCTTCTATGTGAAAATGGCCATTGAAATTGAACAAATTTATTAAATATTTGATACATAAATTTAAATTCATTTAATATTTATTCATATATTAAACTTATATATCATAAAACTTGTAATCAGTATATAAACAAGGAAATAGGAGTTCATTTTGCTTTTGGAATAATCCACCATTTTCTTAAAATTAAACAGTATCTACAGATTTACATTGAAGGGTTTCTTTTGATAGTGATTTTAATCACTGTCAGATATCATCTATACTTGTCCCAACTATGTGCACGTCCACACTGTGCTACGACCTCACATGCTACTATTTTTTTTAATAAGAATAATGATTTAAGTAATAATTTATATTTATTTATTTTTATACTTAAATTATTTATGTATACTTATAATTTTTATTATATAATTATAAAAATAAATATATTTAATTAAGTTATAATATAAAATACATGTATCCCTTTATTTTTGAATATTACAGAGTATTATTGTTTAAAAGTGCATTAATTAATTTAAAATGTATGGAATTGTGCATTTTTTTTTTTTTTTTTAATCTGAATAATTAAGTTATTTATATAATTATTAATTACAAATTATAAATTTATATATATTAGTAATAAATTATTGTTATTAAAAAGTAATATATTAGTTAAAAATAAATATTTTAGTATTAAAAATCAAGTTGTATGAATTTAAAATTCAAAATATTTATTTATATTATTAAAATTAATTGCAAACGTAACCGTTTATGAAACGCGCACATTTATAAAATGTACATGTTTATTAAACTTATACGTTCATCAAACAATAGAAACCCTTTGACATGATAATCGCATATCACAAACCATCCCTTTAGTGACAAACAGATTTTATTGTTTTATTAGGTATACAGTCAAAATTCTATTGTTCCACAAACATAAACGTAAATGGATTCCATTATTATATTAAGTATACAGTTAAAATTTTATTATTCAATAAATGTATATTAGAATTGTGATTGTAAAGCTAATAAACAATAGAACCCGTCTGTTACACCTGAATGTTACAGCATTGATAAACAATAATCTTTTTTTTCAAACCATGTATAAAGAAGTAAGTTTTACTTCAAAAAATTATTAATATTATTTTAATTTTTGGATTATTTAAGTGGTCTATGATAAGTAAATCACCCTGTCTATTAAAAAAATCTTTATAAATAATATTGCCTTTCAATATTCAATTTAATTTTACACATTTTACATTTTATCATAACTAAAATATATTGATGTACCTGTAGGAAATGGCCATTATAGCAGCCTCATTCAATGTTGCAGGTGGAACTGGTTGGCTAGTAGGATTTTTTATAACAACAGTAGTTGCACCACTAAAACCAGCATGCACATAAACATCAGATGCCTTCATATACTTTTTAACTATTACTTCATTTTGATGAGCATCTCGGCCAGCAATAACTATTAAAAAAAAAAAAATTATATTTATATATACTATTTGACTACTAGCTTTTATTTGTTATAAAATAATCTAATTATGAAAATGACAGGTCGATAACAACTTTTGAACCAATATTGCAAAAGTTATTAACATTTTATAGTGGTGTCTGAAGGTGAAACGAGGGTGTTGTTATTTTTATCACTAGTCATTTCTTTCTCATACTTTTCCTCTTGTTAAGGTATAAAAAGGAGAATAACTTCTGAAGTATTGGTCCAAAAGTTGTTATTAACTAGGCATTTTCTTATTTCATCATTTTCTATTTTTTATGCTAATTAAATATGTATATTATCATTAAAAAAAAAATTACATCCCTATAAATTATAATGATTAGAAAAGGTAATTAATAGCTAATAAATCAAGAAATGTAAAGTGTGATTTTATTTTCATAACCCATTCAATTATTTACAGAATAAAAATAATTATTATCATATATTTATTTTAATAATAAATGATATTTGAATATTTAACATAACTTTATTCGCTTCTTAGAAATAAAATTTAAAAAATTTAAAATTCATATTTTTAAGTTATTATACATGTATAATGCACAAGAAATTATAAATACGGGTAGCTAATTAATTTTTTATGACATCGATATTCGCAGATACGCAGCATTTATATCAATGATAGTAAGGCACTTTGTTGTAAGTTTATAAATACACTAACTGGCAATAAAGAAAGCATATCTATTGAAAGTCATAATTGATAATAAACACTCTGTAAATGTGTACCAAATTCATAAAAAACCAATTATCTACCTATAATATTAATCCCTCGTATATTATACATGTATATTCTTTTAAAAATTTGTAACTTTAAATTTTTATGTCTAATTAAAAAGTAAAGTTTCAATTTAAATAAAATTGTAAATAATATTATATAATTTATGACTTAAAATAAATGCAATGAGATCTCAGATATCAAGGATAATAATGTTAACAATAAAAAGTAAAAATTACATTAAACAAACAAAATATTAAAATATTTTATGTATGATAAATGCATGAAATATTTAAAATATTCGATTATTTATTATTTTGCTTAAAAATAATTTTTTGTATTTATTCATAAATAATAAAAATATAAGTTACACAATTTTATATTCAAAATACTTATAACAGGATTACTGGATAATAAAGAACTGTTTACAAGAAGTTTTACTGTAAGTCTAATCAGTAAAGTAAGCAATTAAAAGTCTACGATTTAATAAAATAAATATATAAATAATAATAAATACCTAAAAAATTTTCAGAAGAAATAAACCAGTAAAATTTTTCAAACCAGTATGTTTTGCGAACTTTGTTAATAGATGCTACAACTTGCATATCTTTTAAGGTTTGCTTGGTTTTACGCTCAGCCATTTTTAAAACTGTACTAGAAGAATCAATAGTTTTTTTTTCTTTAACAGCAGACTGCTTTTTTGATCCATAATACCTATAATTATTATATTATAAATAATACATATTTTAATTCTGAATGACTTGATTACTTTTGAGCATTTCCAAAAGCAGACTGCCCCAAATCAATGTCCACTAATTTACTTTTTTCTTCATCTTCATAAGGATCACTAAAAATATAAAATTAATAATTTTATTATCTTATAACATTTAAAAATACATTTAAATTTTAATGTATTAAATTGTATATTCGAGGTTTAAACATTTAATTAAATAAGATAAAAAAAAATAAAATTCTTTTAAATAGGTAACGAAAAACGAAAAATATTTTTACAGCACTATATAATCATATGACAAAGTTACATAAACTTGGGACTCTTCTAAGTGACTTAAACAAAAATTAAAAATGCAAATAATTTTACATCTTAGATATAAGATATAATAAATAATATTTAAAGCAAAAAAAATTGATTTTTAATTATCCAAAAAATAATAATTTTTTTTTTTAAATTCTCATTTATGCAACCAATATAATTAAACAAAATCTAACAGTAATTAAATTATATATACAAGTAACTTACTGTAATTCTAACATTACATGGTTAACATTAAGTTTTAACTGTTTAACAATTGCATAAGTTTCACCATCATCTTCAATATTTACTTGTTTAATCATTTCCCAAATTTCATCCCAGTGTAACTGTTTAGCTAATGCTTGTCTTACAAACATTATTGTATTATCCACAATATCTAAATTATTTGTAATCAATTCAGCTTTTGTTTTATCTTCATTTTGAGCTTCTTGTAGTTTTTTTACTCTTTCTTCGTGATCTTTAACAATATTTTGAAGTTTTTTAACAGCACCTTTTTCCTAGAAAAAATATAGAAATCATATGAATTAGAAAATAGTAAAATAAACCAGTAATAATATAAAATATGAATTAATAAAAATCTCATAAATTAATACAAACTTGTTGCATGCATTTAATATCATATTTTTGACTTTCTAAATTGGAATAAAATTCATCTACTGACACATTAAAGGTATCATAAGATTTAGAAGGTAAACTTAGATGTTGTGCAAATAAAAATGGATGATATTCTTGGTTAGTACATAACTCTTTTATTGTTCCATCTGGCATTGCTTGTTTATCAATCTTTTGTATAATATAACCCTACAAAATATACAGTAAAATTATTATTCAAAGTAAATTTTTTGTATAACAAATTGAGGCATAATCCAGACGAAAGACTTATAAACAAAATATTGGTTTTAAGCAAAATTCAAGTTAAAGTTTTTAATCCTATTACTATAAAACATGACAATTTAAAAAATTATTCATGACATTAGTTATAATATTATGAAACTGTTAATTAAATAATACAATTTATGTGATACATCATTTATTTTTTATTTTAAACTTAAGAATTTTTAAAAAAAGTTATGTGCTTTATCCAAATAATGTAGATATATTACATATAAAAGATTATAATACATCAATAACCTTAGAAATTTTTTTTTTTATTTAAATCAATAAAAAAAAATTATATTTAATTTTACAAAATTTAGTAACCCTTTTTTTCTAACTTTTTATCAATAAAATGAAATATTGTTTTTCTTTTGAAGTTATTTTAATTGTTTTCATTGTTTCTAGTAGAATGAGACATTATTCAAGTAGGAATAAATCAGATAAAATATTTGATTAAGTATAATTGGGTAGTTATGGGAAATTCAAAATAAATGCCTAGGAATCTTAAAGAACTCCGATGAGCAAGACATTTTAATGTCAAATGATCAAGAAATAGTATTTTTGAGTAATATCTAGGAATGTACTATCATGAAAACAATATTAGAAATACTTTTGAACACTTCTCATTTAATTTTTTTTTTTCAGTAACAAATATTGAACCCAGCCATACCAAGTTGCTAATGAACTTAGGGGTTCTACCTTGCTATGAAAGGGTTGCTAACTTGTCACAGGGTAGTTAGCCGGAAAGTAAAGTGACCATTGGGATCTTCTATGGCACCTAGCGCACCATGAAGTATACAGCCTTATCACAGTATCAAGCTCTGCTGTGATGGACCTTTATTTCTCAACTACTTGTGGGAACTATATGGATAAAAACATACAAACACCACAAAATAACGAACATGAGACGAACAGGGATCATACAACCTGTTGGAATAAGAATGTGAACTGGGGACTCGTCGCAGAAGAATTGCCGAACTTAAATGTCTCAATGCAAACAACGGGACACTTGGTGAACAGTCTATTAGCAAAGAGACAGCAAATGCAGACCAGAAATCACAAGATTAACTGGGATCAGCAGTAGCTAACAAAATCGAAGGTCTAAAACTTAGACTTGAGAAACTGAGTGGCAGTCTGAGGCGCAAGCTGAAGAGGAGCCGGGCAATCATAGAGGGGCAAAAAAACCTGCCAAAGGAGGGAGACAATGGAACCGATGACTTGAAAAAGTCAAAGAATAGAAAAGCTCAAAAACCTAAAGACAAGGGTCAAGAACCTCCATGTAAGAAAACTCATTGGGTACCAACTTATATGGATGTGGTAATCGATAATAAAAAAGTGGCTCTGGTCCTCGCAGGCTACCCCACTAACAAGTTGACCACAGAGCAAAGGCTACTCATAGAATCTTGTGTTGGAGACTTGATACTGTCGGGTACTGATGGAACCGACATACCAAGGTTTAAAGACACCAAACTCATTGATGGAGCACTTGTGATCAGAACAGCCCAAGAGAGCTCTTTTAAGTGGCTCACTGATCATGTCAACCTAATAAAACCTTGGGACAGTGCAGAAATCCAAATGGAAGCTTACAATCCGATCAAGTACAAACGGATGGTCACTCATATACCAGGGCTGCCAAAAGAATTGAAGAAAATCTTGGAAATTTTGACAAAACTGAACCCAGGGCTGAACATGGCGATCTGGAAAGTCCACCATGAGACAAAGGTTGGCCTGAAGGACAAACTTTGTTCCTATGTGGGGATGAGAAGAGCATAGTCAAACTGGATAAACTGAAGCACATTCCATATTTTAGAATGGGCAGAGTTTGATTCACGAACTATGTTGCCAAGCAGCCACCAACCCAGAAGAATGTAAAAAAATCTGCTCCTCAAAAATCTGGGAAGAGGAAGGCTGAAGAACCACCAGTCCCACTAGGGAAAGGAGGCAAGGCACAGATAAGAAATAAACGGACCCACTTCACTCCTGCCTCGAAAAGGAAGGGAGGAAGTGGGTTACGTAAGGGGAAGGGACCTAGGAAATCGTCATCCTCAACAACGATCACAGTTGAGGAGAACCTCTCCACGGATCCAAAAGGAAACGTGGAGAGCAAACCCAAGGAACGGTCGCCACCTGGAGACGGCAGAGGGACACCACCCACAGGGAGGGTTGTGTGATACAGGAACTATTTCAGACACCTGTATCACACCCAGTATATTAACAAAATTTGAATATTTATTCTTTATTTAGATTTAAAATTTAAGCATAAAATTTTTTTTAGTTTTTAATAAAACTAAAACTGGATTCAACCAAATTAAATTTAATAGGCTTCACAAAATACTGCAGCCTTGGCATATTGTTTTCAATAAAAATTATTCAATAGTAACAAAAAAAATTATTGCAGAACACTTTTATTAAATGTTAATTACTACTTACATTCTTCAATGAGGCTATATTATCTAAAAATATTTCAGCAATATTGAAACAATATAGAAGTTTTTTAACATCAGTATTTATATTAAAATCAATTCCAATTTTGGTATTAGGGGTAAATCCACCAGTAATTAACATATGTTCTAATAAGCAATTGCCATAATCTATAGATATCAGAAATATACATCAATAGTTTAATTTATTTAAAAACTATTCAATGAATTTATACCTAAACAATTAGGAAAATTAGAGAAGATGAACTTTTTAAGGTTAACAGATGGTTTCGCTGTTTGAAAAACTTCATTTAACTCATTTTCAGTTGGAGGCCTTAGACGATTTTTAGGTCTACAATTTGGATATACTTCTTTAACAAAAAATCTGAAAATTAAATTAATTAAAAATTAATATATTTTATTCAAAAAGAAAACTTTTACTTTTGTTTTTCATCTTCATTATGAGGACGTAATATGTTTATCATGATATAATCTTTATCTGCTAAAATAATATTTCCTTTGTCATACAACTCTAATATAACATGATAAGCTGCTTCTCCAACACCAAATTGAAGATCAATAATTCTATCAAATCCCATTTGTGTTAAATTTTCTAACCGTTTATTAGTCAAATGTTTTCTTAACTGAAATATTGATATAAAAAAAGTTTTAATGTACTTATATAACATTATTGACCTTATAAAATATTTTTTTCAATCATTTATAAGACTATATATTAAACTTTTAATTTAATTTTTTTACCTATTAAATTTTGCTACCAAGAATAAATTTTGATATTTAATTTTAAATAGTGATTTACTTCTAAGACTTTCTTAAAAAAACATTCATCTTTCAACATTCAACTTTACCATTCCACTCATGAATTTCAAAATTAATTTGTTTTTTTTTTACCTTATTATAAATATACAATTTTTTTTCCAAAGAAACAATTTGTTAAAATATTACAAGCTTTTAAATTTTATTATTTGCTTAATATTAAATCACATTTTAATTAAGAATCCTAATACTTATTATGTTTTTTTTTAAGTAATATGTATGTAATTTGCAATTAAGTATTCTAACATCTGTGCAATTCATGTTAGTTAAAATAAAAAAATTTTTAAACCCGGGAACACTAAGTGTCCATAGCCATATTTAATAAGCTAATTTTTGTTGTGTTCTTCTTAAATCCAGTTATGTTTTTCAATACTAGTTAAAGTAATATTATGTTATTCAGTATGGTGTAATCTGAAATACTACTATACTGAATTGCTGATATCAGCAATTACTCACAAAACACACATTTTATTAAATCAATTACAATTATTACTTAAAATGAATGCATGTAAGTTCATATAAAGCAACACTCTATAATCAGCTTATTTGTTGAGAGCTTTACTGCAAAATGAAATACAAAGATTACAGTTATAACAACCCTGCAAACCATAGTTATCTCAGTGGGGATGGTAATATATACCACTGCTCTCAACCGCACATGACTTTGGTTAGTTGGGACTGGTAGGCCTAGGCATGCTTACATGCTAATAGCGAATGAGTCGTCCTAACACAGCCATACCAATAAAAAAGGGTTGTTAACCTATCATAGGATAGTTAGTCAAAAGGTAAAGAGACCATTAGAATCCACTATGGCACCAGGATAACGTGAATAGACAGCTTTTCACATAAGAATCTTTGAAACTGAAAACCTCAATGTGAATAGCGAGATTTTTAATGAATCTTTTACTAGCAAAAAGGTGATGTCAGCAGATGTAGACCAGGAGTTGCAAGACCAACTGGGAGAAGTTGCTGAAAGGATCAAAAGACTTAAATTTAAGCATAAGAATCTTAACAGTAGTCAGTATGAGAATATTATAGTATTGATGATTAAATTATAATTATTTATTATGAACTGTTGGATATAGGTATAAGTAAAACTAAGATTTAGAGATCCAAAATTTCCTGAAAAATTGATATCAAGAAAGAAACTTAAAAAAAAAGTTTCTTTCAGAAAAATAGGAAAAATTCCAAATAACTTGTATACATATAAATATAATACCTTTATATCTAGGATCTAATAAATTATCAGTATAATGTACTGGATATAAGCAATTTTTTTTTTATTTATTATTAAAGATTTCATAAGATGTGGTTAGAAGGGACCATTCTTACATTAACATCTTTCTCAATTGCTGAAAATGTTTCATGGCCTTCAGAAAGTTTGAATAAATAAATAATGTTCATTTATGCTTTCAATTTTTGAAATATTTCTTTTAATTTATTTCAATTTTTCTTAGATGCCAGGAAAAAAACTGTTTTTTCCCCAAAATTCCCAGAAATTTTCGGTAATTTTGGTCTCTAGTGAGATACAAATAAAATTTACCAGCCACCTCACCCAACCATCGTGTTTTTTTTTTAATTCTTAAAATAGCATTATAATATGGAGGTTTTCAATTTTTTTATTGTTGAATTCACTATTACATTCATTTCAGAATATGAAATTCAAGAGATGTCGGAAAAATGTATTTTAGCTACGAAATTCATTTAATTAAATACAATAATATTTTAATAATGTCATTTTTGTGAATGCACTTGTAAAAGTACATTTTATAACAAGTGTTATTACCTTAAATTTAAATCACAAAAAATCAAATTTTGAAGGTATTTTTAGTTTGCCACCCCAACAACTTAAAAAAAGCTGTAACTTTTAAACCAATAGTTTCTGCAAATTATTTCAAATAATTTTGAAAAAAGCATAATAAAAATACATAAAAAATATTTGTGAGAAGTGCGGTAACTATCACCATAGGAAGACATTAAATAAAAAAATAATGTAATAATATTTACATTTGTTAAATGTTAAAAGAATTTAAAAAACAGTTCTTAATTTTAAAAATATACTTATAATAATATTTAACTAACCTTCATACTAAAACTACTTGGTGCATCATTTTTTGTCCATTCATAATTAGTGGCATGTAAACGGATACCAGACTCTAATAATAGGACACATTTTTCATTATTGAGCTGTAGCTTAAATAAATAAGTTTTATGGTCGATATCATAAACTCTCTGTAGTCTCATTCCTTTATATCTACAATAATTACAAAATCCAATTTAAGATACTTAATTTTATTATTATATAAAAAATTTTATTCTAATACTTAGTATTATAATCTATTCAATAAATATTCTTTGAACGTTTTGAAGAGTTACAATTTATTTAGTTTACTTATTTTATTAAAAATATAAAAATTAATTTACATTCATTAAGCAATGCCAGATTAATAACAAAAAAATAATTTTTACTCACTTTTGCAATTCATTAACGATGCACATAACATCTATTGTGGAAAATCGAGTTTTCATTCTAGGCTAATAATTTTCTCGCGATATTTAATTAAAAATATATACCTATAATCATAAAAAAAAAACAGAGTCTAATTTTTAAATAATATAATAAGAAATTATACTATGTAAAAGTATACACATAGTAAAATATATTTTGAATACTAAAACTAAACATGATCAACTCTAGAGGATGTAAATCCTCTTAGATAAGATCTTATCTATTAATATTTGGTGCCTCCTTATCTTCATAATCCTTTATCATTGGTGTTTTTCTTATCATAAATAATAACATCATAATTCTGTGATTAATTTCTTTAATATCAATGATTTTGGCTCATTAGACTCATATAGAGGTGGCGCGTACGAATGAGGACAATTATTCGGTAGGATTGTTACTTTATGATAAAATATTATATCTGTAACTATGGGTATAAATCCTATACTTATAGTATACGTGTACCCAACCAATTAGTACAATTTACTCGTTTTAACATAATTAAAAAGTTAACCGTCTTTTGAAAATCAGATTTTATTACAATTATTTGTTGATTAATATCATAATATAAAAAAAATAAAGAAAATCGTATTACTGATAATTATATATTTGTAATTTTGTTACTAACTATAAATTTAAATATTCAGCATCCATTTTGCTCTCTCTATACAAATATATATTATCCTGGTTTTAAAATTGACATCCCCGGTAGTAAATTAATAAACAAATTTCAGGCGAGTTTTGTTTTTTTGATTGGGTTTTACTAATTTATAATTATTATTATTTAGTATCACTAAAATGTGGTAATACAAGATGGAAAGAAACCATAAAGGATAGAAATGAATTTATTGTTAAAAATTTTATGTACGATAATCTAGTAATTCATTACAAGATATTTGTAAAAATGTTTCTAATGCTCCAAAAAAATTTTTTTTTGGAAGAGGATTTCCGCCATGAAAATTTGAAAAGTCAATAAAAATATATATACTTTTGATCTAATTTTCATTCCATTATAATATATTTTTTTGTGAATTTTACCAACAGAATGAAATAATTTAATTATATAATTGGATCAAAAGTTATAAGAATTATTTGTTAGATCTGAGATAACTTGTATGCAGTGGTTTAAGTGGGGGGACGGAGTCCCTCTTCTTATTTGGAGTGTAATTTAGCGTTCCCTTTAAGTGAAATCCCAAAAACGCCGGGGGACGCTTTAATTTTGAGCACTGAATAGTGTAAAACGTTAACATAAGAAATAAATGATACAATAAAATATATAAAATTATGAATGTCTAGTAAATAATTTAATAAAAAACTGTCAAAGTTGTACTTTTTGAAATCATTATTACATGTAAAAATCACCATTAAATTATTTTGTTTATATTACTTGAACCAACGTATTTATATAAACATAAAACTGAACTTTTAACTTACGAAATTATTTTAAAGAAATTATATTTATTTTTTATGTAAAGTATATTGTGTCCCGGAGGTTCTGACAAATCGCCATTAGAAAAGTATATGGATTTGTCAGAACCTGTGGAACAACTTGTATATTGACACGACTTACGTCGCAAAAATGTGGTCGAGACTGGTTTTGAGGGTAAAGACCCGTGGGCTGTTTATTAATGAGCAACAACAGGTTATTTTAACAAAAAAAAATAAAAAAAACCTAAAAGATTAACACAATAATAATAATTTTGACATAATATCGCGGCACTTTCGTTGGCGTCGATGACGCAATGTCCGGTGTAATCCTCGGGCGTCAAAAGGTTAGCAGCGTTGATGGCGACGGGCGCGGGTGCGGATCGGTTCGTCAACGTTGTCACTTTCATAACGGTAAGAAGACTCCCGTATTAGTTGCGGCGGGTCGTCGTCGGCCGTGCGGCACTTGCTGGAATTTGCACCGTAGCGTATGACAAGCGGTGTTGGTCAGTCAAATACTCATAATAGGACGACGGCTGATAAAGGTGGCACGAGTCAAGGGCATCGTGTATAACGAAGCGACGCGGGCCGTGTCAAATACCCCCCCGCCAAGCTGCCGGTCAACTTAATGACGGCCGGGAAGGTAACCACGTATCGCAGTAAAGGCCACAAAACTCACGTTGTTTGTGGGTGATCTATGAGGTGAGTGCGTGTATTCCAATTCCACGGGTTTCTCCGCTGGTCGTTGTTTCACCGTTGCTGATTTGAATGTTGTTATTGCTGCTACTGTGCTGTTGTTACTGTTGTTAAAGCGATGTCTCCTCCGTGTTTGATGCTAAGTGTGGTGGTATCAGCCTCTGTTCTCGGGCTGGCACTAGTAATGTGAGTGATGTGTGTTCAATGAGCGTTGTGCGTCCCACCGTGTCATTAAAGCCGTAGCGCAATTTTTCGCTATCTGTGATGATAGTTCGCGCGTGTGTGGGTCGCCTGCTATGTCTAGCGTTGATAGATCGGATAGCGTGTGCCGAGTACTCGCTTTCCAACAAGCTGTAATCCATCGCATCGCGCCCAATTGAATTGTACCTACAGCGTAGGAGACTTCCTATTCTGTTAGAAAGTCGTGGCCCAGGAATACGTCACAGTACAGATTCTCTAAGATAACAGCCATAAAAGTGATTGTCAGATCTGCGATGTTCCCGGTATAAAATCTATATTGTATCACACAAATATATTTGCAAATTCGTTTATATACTGTTAGGGATTAATTTATTACTTGAGGTTCTTGGAAAAAACTAAGAATCGGGAGCTACCCTACGTCAGAAACAAATATTGTTCCTATCTTCTTAAAAAAGTTTTAATTACCAGAAGGAGACACAAGCAATTGTGTACCTTAGTTGCTAAAGAGATATATAAAGTTATACTATTGTATATATTATTGTAAGACATTGTACAAAACTAGTTTAAGTTAGATTTAGTTGCAGGGACTGCTCAGTTTCACTCCGGGGGTATGTTGTGAACTGGCTTTTTGCTGCCTAATTGTAATTGTGTAATTTAAAAGTATATATATTAATCATGGGAACAGAAGCTCCTTTTGTCTTGTATATAAAGTATTAACCAGGCAAGCATCTAGTCCTTCCAGAACATTCGATGCTTTCTCGGCCATTTTCAATGTATTGAGCCTACGGCCGCCGCCACTTGAGGCGACGCGCCAGTAATAGTCAGCTACTCGTTCAAGAGTCATATAGTCATAGGGTCCTGGACGACTCTCCACTGAATCACTTTCACTGAATTTGTTATATTAATTAAGTATCAACTCATTAAAGTCGTTTAGTCAATTATAAGTGTCACTGTATATTTAAATATAATAAATAGCAACTAATTATCAAACGTTTTATCTCTTCATTTTATCTACTGTACCAACCCGGTCACAACATTTGGTGGCAGCGGTGTGATCAACATTTATTTTATACTGAAGAATCAACTACAGTCAACATTCTACTTCATTTTTCCGTGTTTCTTCAGTAAGTGTTGACATGATACCCACGTGTCTGTGAGGTACGTTATACAAAAATTTTATTAATCCAGTGCGTTCTAGTAATTTTTAATTACTATTTTTATTTTTACTTTTTGTGTATATCGTATTTTTTTTTTTAATTTACAAAATTTCAATATTTCGAAAAGTTCTTTGAATCGGTGTTTCTGGCTGTATCGTATTCGTTAATCAAGGCCGCCATCTGGGTAGCACAATACACACGCATCCGTCTCTGGTTAACTGTCAGAAATTTTACACGTGCGACAACTAATTCTGACGCCATCTAGTGTATACATTTTTCATCGAAAAATCCAAACCGTGGATAACGCGCACTCTAGAATATAGTAGCCTTACCCATACGCTTTGGGTACGCGCTCTATCAAAAAAGTTTTTTAAATTTATGAAACACCATCGTTATCGTCAGACTACTGTATCATTTTTATCACTGTCCGGAGGAGTCCAGCTGATCCGGCCGTCATCGCCACCAATCATTACCGGCGTTTTAATCATCAACTATAACAAGAAAGCAAATAATCAAGAAGTGTTTATTTTATTATAACTTTTTTTTTGCTACGTTTAAAAGAAGATTATTTTCATTCACTATTTCAACTCAAGGAAATAATTTCATTCACTGTGTCATTTCAAGGAAGTTATTTCATTTAAAGGAGATGTTTTATTCACTCACTCGTAATTTCAAAAGCTAAGCCATGTAGTTATTCTACTTTAATCCAATTCATTCAACTTCAACAACATTGTTTTTTCAATCCATCGTAATTATGTATCTCGTACTGTAAGTAACCATACATATTGTTTTGTTTTAGAATATTACAAAAAAAAAAAAAAAAANTCGATGCGCTAACGAATATAAAAAAAAAAAAAAAAAAATGTGCTTAATAGTAAGTTCGGAATAACTGATATATTTCAATTTAAAGTTTTTCTTTTTCAACTCATGTATAAGAATATTTAATTTAAATTTTATTTTATTATTTGAATTCTTAGTACTTGTTATTTTAATACAAACTAATTTAGTTTAAACTAATTTATTCAAGATTGTCGCAAAAGAAAAATTGCCAATGAAAAGAAGAATCAACTATCAACAATATCGAAATCAGCAGCATGCATCGAGCACCAAAAAGTAATAACGAAGGGCGCTCCGTAGGGCATCTTCAAGAAAATTCAATTGCATGTGTTTACTACTTCAAAGCCCAGGTAGAAAAAGGACACGTCACTCTAAAATACTTCAATGTGTAACTCAATCCGCTAAGCTTTTACTGGACACGGGCTCTGACATAAATATTATAAAGTTAAACGTTCTTTAAAAACATTTAATAGTCGACGAAACGAATTCGTTTCGGCTGGAAGGTATTCATGAAATATGCTAGGCCAGAACGTGTTGGAGGTGCAGCTCGGTACTATCACACGGTCTATGTCTTTTCAAATTGTCAAGGATGATTTCCCCATACCGCAGATGGTATCATAGGAACCCCTTTTCTTGCGGAAAATAAATTATCTATAGATTTCACATGTCAGACTCTTTCTTCTCGAATAACAGCCCCTTACACAGGACTCGTCATCCTGGCACAACGATCAAGGTCTATAGTACCAATTTATATGAAAGAACCTGAAGGTACTGTTCTACTAGTTCATTCTAAGTCATTGCATGATGGACACGTATTACTGGGCAATGTTGTCAACATCGTCAACAAACAGCGTATGCTAGTATCAGCCATCAACACTAC